ATTTACAAGCATCTTTTGCCATATAATGTATTATAGTCACAAAGCTGTGGAGATTAAGGTATAGCCATAGAGGTTAGGTTAGGATCACATTCTACAACAAATAACTTTTCCCATTCCTGGCAATGCCTCTGGCAGTCTTACCACTTTCATTATTCTCTGCTATCCTAGCTTGAAAGAGATCGATCAAAATACTCAGCAGTGTAGAAAACATCAGTACTGTCATGGCCCATGAATGTTAGATATTATCACAGTCTAAACTCTAAAAGAAAGTGTAAGACTTTGGGTTTGGATGGGTGTTGCTTGTAGAAGAAAGAACTGGGTTGCTTGTAGAAGAAAGAACAGTGAGAAATTTACAGATCTTAGAGTCAGTTTTAACATCCTCATCTTCCCTCTATACATACTTGATATCTCTTCTGACACTGAATACATTACTTATCCAACTTTACTTCATCAGTAACCCAAGGCTAATATGTATATTGTAAAGTAGCTACAAGAAGTGAATGTGCACCTAATAACTGCTGACAACTCTCCAAAATCTAATCCATGGCATCAGTGTACCTGTTGTTACCAAATCATGGGTCCCTTTAGGGACAATGACCTCTAAACACTAATCTTCTCAGTAGTTTCTAGAACTCTAAGGCTCCGGGGCCATGAGCTCTGAATCAGATACATCTACCTACATTTGAGCCATAGTCTTGCCACTAGTTTTTCATCTTTGCTCTTTGTTACTTCTTTCCTTCCAGGACACGATGCTTTTGTGGTGTAGTTGCTGTCAGAAATGATCAAGTAGACCTTAGTCTGTGACAGGCCCTCAGTGTACCGTCCTGTGGCTGTAGCTCTACATCATTCTATGAAATTAATGCACCATTATCTGAATTCCCTCGCAAAAGAAGTAGTCATCTAAGGTTGAGTGGCCGTCACTCTGTGTCACCCAGGAATCGCACATAAGGAATCTGGACAAAGACCCAGGTCTCTCAGAAGACAGGCATATAACCGATGTGCTCTCTTGCCTACCGAGCAACTTGAGCAAGGAAGGAAAGTAAAATGCCCAGCATATAGTCGGGCAGCGCACATGTACTATTTAGTTGGGTGCCCTTGCATTTTGCAGCTACTGTGTGCAGCTACAAGAACAGCAAGCAGCGGCTTCATTCTTTCTTTCTTAAACGTCCCCATTTGGCAGAGATATGAGCATCGCAGTTCAGGGCAGGCAGGAGGGGTGAGAAAGCCATTCCATTATCTGTGTTAAATTCGACTTGTGTTAATGGACTTGTTTAAAAGCACCCTGGGTGGCAAGTATGAGACTTAATGGCACTTTATCAAAGCCGTTGTGATGAATTAGCACATAAAGCAAATTAAAAACAGCTTATCGCTTCTTAAATTAGGTGATGGGGCACTGTAGCATTTTTCCCCAGATGTGGGGATCCATTAATACTGAAAGGAGACAGAAGCTGAAATGTGTCATGTGCTGGGTTTTGGGAATCTGACAAGCCAGAAATCAGTGTAATCCTAGCTGGCTAGATTGGCCAAGATAAACAGACTGCATAGACAGAGCACCATGCTAGGTTCCTCAGCCAGGACATCTATTGCCTCAGCAGAAACAGGAAACTGCCCTTTGGAGACTCTTGGAATGGGTGGTACACCTCGGGGCAAGTATTTGACTTGGTGAGGACTGCCAGAAGTAATCATCATCACATGTGAAGATACTGAGCTGTGAGGAAAGGGTGCATTCAATGGTGATCTGAAGCATTTCCAGACACACGTAGTGAGGCTCTGCTTTGGTCTTACAGGGCCCAGAGACCAGAGAGGGGCATTTAAGATGAGGTGCTAGATAGCCGTAGTAATGGCCAGACACATTCCGGAAGCCACCGGGCTCTGAAGAATGTTGTTGAACACTCTCTGGTGTCAAGCTATTGTCGTGCTACTTTGCGTGTTTGTTTTCATTTAATTCTCACCCCACCTCTTCAAGGTAGCTTGATAATATTTTATAGTTTAAATAAACATAAGGTCCATCAAAAGCCAGGCAGGCTAACCCTGTCTTCTTGACTCCCCCCATGAATGCTCTTTCTTATCTCTGTCCCTCAAACTTGAGGCCTGGAGCCAGTCCGGCAAAGCAGTACTTTCAGCGTAAGGAATTCTGAGATAAGAATAAACTAATAAGGAAGCTTCAGGAATTTGTAGACAATGAGGAAGTCAATCTTGAAAAAGAAATCTAAAATCGCTGGTACTGCTACATCATGGCCAGGAGGCGACAGACTGGGGAAATGAGCTGCAAAGTCAAAGGGCCACAAAAGGAGGTTTTGGAGTCAGGCAGGCGTTACTGTACATTCATTCAGCAACATATATACACATGTGACCTGGAACGAGTCCATTAATATCCTGAGATTCCTTTCTGTGCATAGAAGACTAATCTTTACTTTTATGTTTCTTATAAACCTCTAGGCTAAGTTGTGGTTGCTGTTACCACTTTTAGTCTCCTTACACATAGCCACCACCCCACATCCTTCCAGACTGCATGAGTGACAGGGTAAAGACACCAAGCCAGACCTTGGGTCTGAGGTTCCAACTGCCCTGCATTACTGCCACTGAGCTTGTGTATCCTGGGGCCGCTTACTGAGCCTCTGTTTTCTGGAAAAGGGCATAGTACCATTTTTGGACCTTTACAGGAATGGATAGAGTCACAGATGTGATAGTCTGTGTAGAAATGTGTTGCCAACTATAGAATATATAAAGGAATTTCTCAAGACACTTGCAAGTTTGATTCATGGAGTCCAGCATAGCCAAGCTCAGAACTGATTTTAAAAAAATAGGAAAAAAAAAAATACAAAACAAAATCAGTGAGGGGAAAGGACCAAGGGACAAAGTCTGCAGGAAATGAAATACAAGCTTCCAAGAGCCTTTTCTCTGGGGAGGCACATGGGCCATATCTATCTTCTCTGGTATCCACTTGTGAAAACAGGTGTTGACTGCTGGGCATATGGTTGGAGACCAGAATGGAGGCTTTGTGCTGGGAGCTGCATGGGACAAAGCACAGCAATTTTCAGCCTAAGTGATAGTGTTGGTACAGAATAGACACAAGAACTACTAGTCCAAAACTAGCGGGAATCTTTACAAAATCCACGTTCTTAGATATCAGCTAACGGACACCCTTGCCAAGGGCCTTTTTAAGGACAATTGTCTCCTGACATGTATGTTAACTTTCTTTTTTTCCTTCTTTTCCACAAAGTGCAAAAATCAACAGACAGGAATGTTGTTGGACTCCACTCTAAAGGAGGAGGTAGTTCATCCTTATACTTAGCCACTGTAAGCGAGGCACTGTCCTACATGCTTTATCCACATTGCCTGATGCAGTTTACCCACGCTGCTCAGTAATGGAGGAAGCCCTCAGCAACATATATCATGTTATGAGCAACTGAAGCCTAGGAGAGATTAAGTAGCTTGCCTCCATAACTAGCTGACTATTAAGACACAGTGAAAACAGGGCACGGCCTCAACAGTAGTTCCTCACCGTTATACTGTGTTCTGCTACAGAGCCCCTTCCACATGCTGCCCATGTTGTTTCCATTATGGGAAGGTGATTGTGCATTGAGCACATCTGGCTCTGCAGGGTTAACTGATTTCTGTCTTATCACACAATGAATCGCCATCAGCAGGAGTGGTATCTGTCCTCAACCACCCCCGCTTTTCTGGAGTGGGGCTTTATATAAAGTTTGATGGGGAAGATGCAGATGGTCAAAGAAGAAATAATTTATTCTTGGCACTCAGACCAAAAACAAAAACAAAAAACTTCAAATTACATCACTTAAGTATACTGGAAATGGCTGTATTGTAAGTAATTTGACTTCTATAATATTTGAGAGTTAACTGCTGTCTTCAGCCCTTTTTGGTTACCATGGCAGCAGATGTGACATTTCTTTGACAGAGAATTGGGTTGGGGGTAATGGGGGAGAGAAAAAAAGGAAAAGAACCAGCGTTTCTCCTAATGATTTTAGAAAAGTTTACTCTCCAAATGAGTTTGGTTTACATATATGTGGTTATAATATAAAGAGAGTCTAAGCAGAGTAAAAAGAATTCATAGGGAGGCCATAGAACCTTCAATATTCTATGTGGTGGTGGGCTTTGAGATGAGGTGGATTAAAAAAAAAAAACACTATCGTACTCAAAATAAAATGTCACATCTTTATGACTTCAGCTACTCCGTACTCATCATCTTGATCCTGTTTCCAACTCTGGCACTGAACCAGGCTTAGAAATTGGACTGCACTGGGCTCAAGCAAGGCTCAGCCAAACCTCTTCCATGACAACAAAGAATCGCAGTTGAGAGTGAGGAGTGTGGTAATGAGGCAGGCCTGGGTTTTATGGAAGTAAAAAAGCTGCAGTATTGTTCAAAGGATTTTGTTCTGTACAAATGTAAACACAGATCTTTTTTTCACTTTTTACATTTTAAGAACTTATTCAGGTCATTACAGTAACCCCTTAAAGCACCCAGAGTTGGTGATAGATAATTCAGTATTCTGTTGTTGGGGACAGTCAGTCTCTCTGGGTAGACATTTTACATTTTTATTACTTTTCTCTATTATAAAGGAAGAAGTGTAAAAGCTATTATATTGAAGAGAATTTACTTATAGCAGAAAGAACTTAAGAAACAAAGTGTGTTTTTCTTTTTGTTTATTTTTCCTTTGTAAAATTTGATTCTAATAGGAAGAAAACTATCTCAATTGAGTAATAAACTGAGGATCTAATCTCTCATTATCACCATGTTATATCTCATGGCATCCAAGAAATAAAGAAACAAACTCCAGTTATAAGGACCTATAGTCCACCCCTCCCTGAAAGAAAAAGCAAGAAGTAACCTTAGTATATGGCCAAAAAGAGAAAACTGTATAGCAAAATCCAGGAAGCCGTACAGGGCTTGATGAAGTCTGGGGGCAAGAGCTGAAATTCAAAAGCATGTGCTTAAAATCAGTGTCCTAACCATACTATCATCTGTTCTTTTCTTTCAGAGCCATGTTTGACTACGACAAGAGCAAGGACAGTGGGCTGCCTAGCCAAGGACTTAGTTTTAAATATGGAGACATCCTCCACGTCATCAACGCCTCTGATGATGAGTGGTGGCAAGCCAGAAGGGTCACATTAGATGGGGACAGTGAGGAGATGGGAGTCATTCCCAGCAAGCGGAGGTAAGGATGCCTTCTGGGAATCAGAGCATGCCTGCATGCATGGGAGGCAGGGAGGGCGGGAGAGGGAGGGGGAGAGTGTTATCTATCTCGGGAGTAGATATGCAGGGAGGGGAGGATGGGGGAAGCCGTGCACAAAATGACAATTTAAGTGCGATAGGCATTCTACAGGAAAAATGTCAGCAGTGACAGGTGACAAGAATAAAAAAATTTGCATTCTCTGCGTGTTAGGATTTTACCAAAATTGGTGAGTGTGTTGAGGCATAAAGGGAAAAAGGAAGAGCTGCTTAGATGCTGCTGCTGGCAGCTATATGCAAAAACGTTGTTCTTATGAGCCTGCGTGCCAATTCACAAACTGGTGCACTGATGACCTTAGTTCAGCATTTACTCATAAATTTACAGAAAGACTGAAGATCAAAGACAACTTACTACCCAGCTGCTTGAGCTCTGAGCTGTTCCATTAGCTAGCTGGACGGTATCTTTTACTTTTAATCCGTCCTGTTCCCCATCCCAGCATTCCCCGTAGTTGCTCCAATTTTACATCTACGTATTTCTTAAGCATATCAAACCCTTCTCCTCCAAATGCTTCCTCAACTCTGTTTTTTAAAGGCAGAAAAATTCCTCACTCCTCCATATGCCCTAGCAGCCTCACTCACCACCATCAAGAACTTCCCTTCTCAAGAGCTGGCACAAGGCCTGGTCAAGGAAAAAAAATTCAGTATCAAATCAAAAGTCAGTCAGCTTTCTGTCAGAGCTGGAGAAGGGGCTCATGAGTCCCCACCCGTAGCTGAGGAGTTCTTGACAGGTAATGGCTGCTAAGGGAGGGAGAGCTAGTTTTCATCAGGGGCTCATCCCTGGTCGGTTGACCATACCCCAGTCGATGGCCCCATACCCACACATATATGGGAAGCACTAATTGGGCTCAGCGGGCGAGGAAGGGAAGGGGCGATGAACAGATGTGAAGTTGGGAGGAGCTCTAGGAAAGAGGAACCAGGAGAAGGTGGGGGGGTAATCCACACCGCATCTTCTTGCTTCCAACTTGTCACGCATCTACCACTCCTGCCTTCCCGCTGTGTGTGCGCTTTTTTTAAAATTTCTTTTGCTTTATTTTTTTTTAGTTTTTATTAATTATATTTTATTCATTTTGTATCCCCCCTGTAGCTCCCTCCTCCCCCTTCTCCATGCATGCCCCTCCCCAAGTCCACTGATAGGGGAGGTCTTCCTTTCCTTCCTTCTGATCCTAGTCTATCAGGTCTCATCAGGAGTGGCTACACTGTCTTCTTCTGTGGCCTGTAAAGGCTGCTTCCCCCTCAGGGGGAGGTAATTAAAGAGCAGGCCAATCAGACAGTCCCTGTCCCCATTACTGTGGAACCCACTTGGATACTGAACTGCCGTGGGCTACATCTGTGCAGGGGTTCTAGGTTATCTCCATGCATGGTCCTTGGTTGGACCAGTATCAGTCTCAGAAAAGACCCCTATGCCCAGATTTTTTGGTTCTGTTGCTCTCGTTGTGGAGCTCCTGTCCTCTCCAGGTCTTACTATTTCCCACTTCTTTCATAAGATTCCCTGCACTTTGAAAATGCTCAATCCCCATTCAGAAAGGCAAAGAGAATGGACATCAGAAGAAGGAGAAAACAGGGAACAAGTCAGGAGCCTGCCACTCAGGGCCTCTGAAACGCTCTAGCCGGCAGGGTATCAAAGCAGATGCTGAGACTTATGTGTGTGCTCTTTTTAATCATGTAGTCCTAAAACAGTGATTCTTAATACTACTCAGTTTGTGTGATTGTGCTTTTTCATGTCAAGAGGACACGTGTCCTTGGTTGTGCAGATGTAGTTAACCAAAGCTGTCTGAGGAGCTGTTCCTGGGAAGAGCTGTCGTGTTCACTTGGCCCTAAGGATGGAAACAGAGTGCAGGAGTGAAATCTGCGTCTGAGATAGATTTCAGCTCCTTTTAAAGAAATCATTCTTCTCATTGAAGTTTCCTAGAGAAGACATAAAAGAGACTCAAATTTTAGATGGGAGAGTTGAACCAAGTAATGGTCCGGGGCTTTTCAACCCCAGGCTTCTGTGATCCTAACCGTCATGTCAATAGTCACTCATTCATTCAAGTGCTCATCATTTACCTCAAAGATCCGCCCTCTCTGAAACAGTTTTCTGCTTTCTGTGATCATCCTTGAATTGGCTTTTTCATACTTTAAAAAAAAAAACAAAACAAAAAAAAAAAAACATTGTTTTTTGTTTGTTTGTTTTTCTTTTTAAAGAAGCCATTTTAACAGTCATCTTAATAGCTGGCTTGAAAAACTCTGTCCAAGTTCTGCTGTGTTCATGTTTATTTGCATTCTTTTGCATATGAAATACAAATATCCTACCCTGCAGATATATACTATACAAAGTTAAATATATTTGTATTTATTTTTATCATAAATTTTATATTATGTTTTTAGCATTTTAATTATGTCAAACATGTTTCATTTTATGTATTATAAAACTAGTATTTCATCACTGTAGAGAAATATGAGAAAACTAAAAATTGCAGATAATCCTACCTCTTAAAGAGCTCTCACATGTTACTTTTCATGCCATTAAAAATCCAATTGAGAGATAGCTCAGTAGTTGAAAGCATGTACTGCTCTTGCAGAGGGTCCAAGTTTGATATTTCTGTCCCAGCACCCACAGCGGAGGGCTCGTGACTGACCTTCCATTTACTTCAGTTCCCGGAGGATGCGATGTGTCTGTTCTCCCCAAGCACCTGTACTCATACGTGTATATCCCCCGAATATGCACATATTAAAAATAAAATTTTAATATTTTCTAAAATCTAAATCAATGTATTCAACTGGCAGATGTTTCAAATCATTGGCTCCCTTCTCACCTGCTTTGAGAGTTCATGTAGGAGTGTGTAAGTCTGGCCTGGATAGCAGCAGCTCCTGGCTTCACCTTTTATCATTTTCTTTTGATGGTTCTGTCTAATCATCCGAAGCCACTGTAAGGCAAAATATATGAATGCTGTCAGTCTCTCCTTCTTTTAGATAAAGAATAAATGTATGCATAAAATACTCTCAGGGCATGTCAGACCTGGTGTGGTGCCCTCTGTGGTTTTTAATATATTCAAGCCTCATTACAAATCTGTGCATACGATGTTGTTATTAGGGCCTTCATATAAGTGAAAGCGTTGCAAACTACCGGAGATCGTCCAGCTAGTGGCAGAGCTGAGATTTGAGTTCAGAGCGCAGAATCTTAACTCACGTGGTCTTGCCTCGTAAAGGTACAATGATAGAGTTGAAACCAATCAATTCAGTCAGCATTGCTTAGGGTTTGTCTACGTGCCATGCTTACTGTGTGTGTTACAGGAACACTGCCTCCATCTCATCATGGAGCCAGCCTGTTACATGATGAGATACACATGACGGCACCTGTACCTGTGCTGGCTCTTCCATGACTAAAGCAATGGGGCCTCCGTTATGAAGGTACCAAGAGGAGAGAAAAGGCAACAGACTGAGGATAAATTCCTTTTCGTTATATCAGTGACCGTATGTTACAGCCATTGTTGCTGCTGTAACTCAGTACAGCTGACTACCTTAGCTATAAAGTAGACAGGTTTATTTAGCTCATGTTTATGGAGTTCTGACAGCACAAGGTTGAGCGGCCACATTGGCTGAAGGTTTTACTCATAAGTCCTCTGAACGTCCTAGGACCTTACAGGGCATCCCATGATGAGAGAAGCACATAAACTTCAACCCCCACTGGCTTTTATAAGCGGCCCACTCTCACAATGACCTATAAGTCCATTAGTGTTTTAGTTTATAAACGGATTAATCATATGTGAAAGCAGAATACTCAAAACACAGCCCCCCCCCAATGTTCTACCTGCTCTACTTATTAACACCGCACAATGATGGTTAAATTTCAATGTAAGTTTTGGAGGGAGCATTAACTAATAGCATTATGCATTGTGCCAGATGCTTTCAAATACATGATTTCAATTTAATCTTCACAGAAGCCTCCAAGAGAAAGTGGAGGTCATAGAACCAGGAGCTGAGCCACACTCTATGAATCCAAGTGACCACTCATTGATTATTGGATAGAGCCCATATCTAACATGAAAAGTTTTCTGGCCTGTTCCTCACAGCATCCGCTCATGTGGATAGTATTTCAATTTCCCCCCAATTAGGGCCTAAGAAACACAAGCATAAGAACCCCCAGGAACAGATCATGCTCCCCTTGTCCAGTGCTCCAATCAGTTATGGTTGATCAGAACCTGAAAATACGAGATGGGGCTGGAGGAAGGACAAAGGACTTGGTAAAGCATAGTCATTTGGTGCTGTCCAGGAGGCCCAGGTATCAGAATCGATTGCTCAAGTTTTGCCATCCAGTTCATGTTGGTCAGCAACAAGACCAGGTGAGGAGGATTACATCTGCTTAAACAATCTAATTAACTGGTAGAGTCAAAGTGTGGAACGGAACATGTGATAGCAGTTTCACTGCCATCAGGCCTATAATACAGGTCCACCATTTCCATAAGCAGAGGGGCCTTAATATACCCTTTTGCCAAAGGAGTTAAATAACTGCAGAAGATTTAAAATTTCTATTTATATTTTTAATGTGTGTGGATGCTTGCCTTTATGTATATCTGTGTGTGCCTGTGGCCCACAGAAGCCCCTGGGATTGGAATTACCAGACATCTGTGTGTTGCTGTGTGTCTGGGAGTCCTCTCCAGCCCCTAACATAGACTTTGGCTGATAGAAAACATAGGGAAATGATGAACATTTAATGAAAAACACCTCTTTCTTGACAAGCTACTTCAAGTTCTTCAGCCTGAGTTTTCACAGACAGGTCAAGAACTAATAGCCTTCTGGAGACTTCATTCATTCATTTGGCAAAGATTCCTGTCTTTTTAGATTCACATGTTCTATGTACTATGAGCCCAGCGCCATGTTAAGTCGTGAATCATAGTACAGGTTAAAGATAAAACAGGTAATATGCTGAGCACAACTTTCAGCACTCTGAATTTGAGGCCAGCCTGCCATGGTATACTGCTTCTTCCCTGATTATATGCTTAAGTCTGGTTGTGTATAATTTATATAATTCAGAATATTTGGACAATAGAGCTGGAAGGAGTAGGGCACAGCATTTGCGGGGAAAATCAACCTAGGCCTCCTGTGGCTATGTATTTGCTTTTCAACTCTACATTTCAATTCATCCAAGCCCTCATGTTTGTTGAGAATTTCCAATGAGTAAAATAGGCAAGGTAGATCTTTGAGTTCTGTTTGGCCAAAAGCATGGCTATGGGTAGACCTGGTGTCAGCTGTTAGAGGGAGCAAGATCAAACTGTTCCCATCACCTTCATGCGTCAATCTTTGACAGCCACAAAATGGGGTTGACAAGACCTGTGTTGTGGGGTTGAGAGACCAAGCAAGATGATACAAATAAGAAAGAAAACCATTAGTAGCTGCATATTAAAACTTCAGCCATCATGTATATTCCCATTATTCATGATTCTTCCCACCCAAGGAAGAATCAAGATGTTCCAATCTCCTCATGAGTGAACCCAAGCAATGTCTCCTTAATAAGCTACCATTTTCACTTTTTACTTTTGCCTGTGTTAAAGATGCCTGTTTGTTTGTTTGTTTGTTTGTTATGTCCTATTCTGTCTTGTTTTTATTTATTTTCTAATGAGAGAGTGAAAGAAAAAGTGTGAATTTAGGTGAGTGGGGAAGCAGTAAAACTGTGGGGAAGGAAAAATCATAATCAGAATATATTACATAAAAATCTATTTTCAATTAAAAAATTATTAACAAGCCATAGTACTTGTTAGACACAATACCAAAAAGGCGCGTGTGTGCATTTATATGTGTCTGACAATATTCTTTGTAAATTTTTAAAAATTTAAGCAATGATCCCACTAAAACTGCTCTATTAAGGTCACCCAGCAGGAACAGTGAAAGGATGACCTCAGAAATCTGTGAAGAAATGTAGAAATTACACCCAAATAATTCTTAGGTCAGAATACTGCACTGAGCCTTGTGTCATGTGTCTTGTGGCTTCTGTGGGTTCATGCAGAATTTATTTGCATTCTCTAAGCAAATAGCCATGTATTTTCCACATGCTGCAGTCATTTTGAAAGAGTGGGATAAACCAGGGGTCCCCATCATTAGCTGAATTAATGCAAAGAAGTCAGAATAAAGCTAGAGGTTCTGACAACAGTTTCAGGGAAATCTGCAGAGCTGAATAAGAATTAGCATTTGCACTTGAACTCAGAGGGGAGAGGAGCTGCTGGAGCTCTGAGCCGGCCTCTTCTTGGGCTTCTTTCACGTATCTTCAGCCTTTCTTGCTGTCCTCCCAGCTGTTACGCATTGAGTGGGTGCAGGGACAGATTCCCATCATTGGTTTTTCTCCATGGAATATACTGCTTTAATATATGATGTTAGATATGAAAGTTTTTGTTCAGCCCTTTCCGCTCAAATATTCTACTCTGCCACTGAAATGAATGCTTTCTGAAACTTCATTCCGTAACTATAGAAACCCAGATCTTCAGTGTTTCAGTTGGAGACACAAAAGAGCTCTCGGTTAGGAAGAAGCCTGCTGTTAATTACAGAGCTAAGAATAGCTTAGACTTAATAAACCATTAAGTTTCTATAGATTCAGGATTATTTTTCTTTCTCTCTTGCTCTTTTGTTTTCCCAGAAATTAAAAAAAAATGAAATTAAAGCTAGCCAAGTTTAAACAGAATCACACAGCAGCCCAGCAAATAATATTTCTGAACAGTGATGATCCACAGAGGAGCCGCTGTATTAGACTCCTGAGTGTTTCATGCCCCCTCATATCCAAAGCAAAATGTTTTAAAGAAGGAAATCAAGATGTAACTTATGGAGAGATAAAATGCAGTGTTTTGCAGAGCAGGAAATAAAAACAGTGTTTTGCTGTAGGGACTTGGAAAAGTCAAGGAAATATTTAGATTCTTCTTTCTCAACTCCAGCTTCAAATGGAAATGGGTGAAATTTTATTTTGTGGTATTTCTTCAGCTCTTCTCTTCTCCCAATTAACCTTTCCTATCCTCTACTGATATCGCCTAGGTTATGGCAGGAGCTTGTGAACAGACCCCAGGTTCCCCTTTTCTCTTCCTTTGCAACATTGTTTTCCACTGCACCAGGATTCTTTTCTTAAGAGACTTGTTTGAAGGGTTAGAGAGGTAACACAATGGTTCAGAGTATTTGGCTTTTTCAGAGGGCCAAGGTTCAGGTTCCAGTACACATATCCAGCAGCTCACAAATGCCTGTAAATCCAACTCCGGGAAACAATGCCTCCTCCAGCTTCTACAAGCACTGGCATACACGTGACATAACTACAGGCACACACATGCATGTACACATGAATAAAAAGAAATCTCTAAACTCTTAGTTCGATTATACCGCCTTCCTCATTTATGCTTTGGTACTGCTTCCCAAGTCCTTGACTAGCTCAGTGTTGTAGGTGGGGGAGGAGGGAAGGGGAGTTCGTGTTCATTCATGTTTCTGTGGGCGCACGTGTGTGTATGAATGCATGTCTACACAACCCATGGGTGCCTTTTTCATGCACCCCCTCCCTTTTTTAAGACAGGGACTGTCACTGGCCTAGAAGCAGGCTGAACTAACTAGCTAGCCTGCCCTAGGAATTCATCTATCTCTGTCTTTTCTAGGATTATGAGCTCATCCTTCCACCCCTACCCCAGGCCTGGCCTTTTACAGGGCTTCAAACTCAGGTCCCTGTGCGCATAAGGCAAGCACTTTATCAACAGGTGTCTCCCCAGCCATTTTTTTTTTTTTGGAGACATTTTGTGATTTCATGTAGGTCAGGCTAGTGTTGAAGTCATATATCTAATGTTGACCTTGAATTCTACCTTCTACCTTCTAAGCAGTAAGGTTTCATACATGTGCCACTATACCTGACCTAACACCCTGTGGAACCCTAAAACTTCACTAGCCTCGCCTCATTTTGTATGGACCCCAAGGCACAGTCCTCTATAGAACCCTACAACTTCAATAGCCTCGCCTCAACTTGTACGAACCCCGTGGCATAGTCCTTCAAGTGCCTGGCTTGTTAGCAACTGGAATACATGCAAACATTATCCTACTGACAAGCTCTTTCTCCCCCTTCTAGTTTCAGATTAACTGACATCCCCTTCAGAGAACCCTAGACATGCTCTTTATCCCTCCCTCCTCCCCCCAGGACACTGGCCTTCTGTGTTTGCTAAAAGCGTGTCATAATAAATGCCTGTTACAATCATGCTTTAAATTTTTTTTCTTTCCCTCGTTCCCATATCCTCAGTTAATAACACAGCAAATGCTCATTTAGTGGAAGGTAAGGGATGACAGAAGGACATTAGACTCCTTGGAGGGACATTCGAGATGACATATAACATAAGGTTACCAAGTGAAGCTAACTGTGTAGATACTATTTAATATGAAAGAACAGAAAGGGTTTGTTTCCACTCTAGGTGTTGGGTTTCCTAGGCTGTTATTTCCTGAAATAAATTCTGGTTGATACATTAAGCATTTCAGTAATTTTTATCTCTGTTACTTCCAAATAGTAGGACTCTGAGTGCACATCAGACAAAAATGTCTATGGACATAATTAGAAGTTTGGACATTTTTTTACCAAGACTTTTTACCCTTATCAAAGGAAGTAGACCATTTCAGAGCATGTTTTATTTGAGTTATATGGATGAGAAGAAGAAGTACTCTTTACTTAATAAGGAACCTAATCATAAATGCCTTGCCACTTAATTGACTGTTTCTGCTTTCCTTAGGGTGGAAAGGAAGGAACGTGCCCGATTGAAGACAGTGAAGTTTAATGCAAAACCTGGTGTGATTGATTCAAAAGGGGTAGGTACAAACTGATGGCGACATCAAGTTCCCTCAACTGCTATGGATTTAGTGATGATTAACATTCGGGCTTTCAACAGCAAAGAGATAACAGCACCACTAGACAAGAGAGCACTGTCACAAATTACTGCTGAAAGTAATGTTGTTTCTGATAAAGTGGGTTTATTACAAATATATTAGTTACTGGGGACAAAACTAGTGATAACAAACGTGTGTGTTGACAATTGCGAAGATGAAAAAAAACATAGTTTAGGTGTTTTCTTTAAATGTCCTTAGGTCACATTTCATAGACAGTATCTGCTCAACTGAAAATGTAGCTAGTTTGACACACATTATACACTTAAAACCATAGTCATAGAAATACAGACATGGGTCATTTAAGTGAATATGCACATTGTTGTGACAGACATAGAAGAAAGGTAACAGCAACAAAATCCTACCATATTAACCCTTGTGTACATTTCTTCTGAATCACAGCTTCAATGGCACATAATTCAACTATCATACAACTTTCCCCCTTAAATTTAGAGGTGGGCAGCCACTGCCACAACCAACTTGGGAAATTTCACCACTCCATAAAGAAATCCTATCGAGGTTAACAATCATTTCACATTTCCCAGTCTCCCTTCCCCACACAACCACAGTCAGCAACCTATTTTGTGTCTTTATAGATATACCTGTAAATACTTCATATCAATGGAATATGCTCTTTTATGACTGCGGATTGCACCCCACATTCTTTTCTTCAAGTTGCATTTACACTGCTTCATTTCTTTTATTGCCATATAAAATTCCATTGCATGGACATGCCCCATTTAGCATATCCATTATCAGCTGATAGTCATTTGCGGTGTTCCCAGTTTTTTAGCTAGTATGGGTAATGCTACCATGAACCTGTATTAAGATTTTGATGTGGGCGTGTTTTCACTTTCATTGCTTATATAGTGCAGGAACACTGCTGACCCCTTCAGGGATATAACGGCTCGGTACTGCACATCTTAGGAGCTGCAGGTGTTTTTACGCAGTGGCTGCAACATTCCACATTTCTATCACCAGTGTGTGTGTTACAGTTTCTCCACAGACTGAACAGTACTTGTTGCGATGTGTCTTTTAAAATTTTAGCTACTTTGGTTGGTATGAAGCTGTGTGTTATTGTGTGATTTTGATTTGTAGTTCCCTAAGCAATGGAGCAGGTGAGCTCCTTTTTATGGACTGACTGGTGCATCTTTTCTGAGAGATATCACCTTAGATGCAGTCTATTTTTAGGTTGGACTTTTTTGCTTGTTTGTTTTTAGGCTTGATTCATTTACTTCTGAGTGCTCTCTCTGCATGTACACCTGCATGTCAGAAGAGGGCATCAGATTGTGAGCCACCGTGTGGTTGGTGGGAATTGAACTCAGGACCTCCGGAAGAACAGACAGTGCTCTTAACCACTGATCCATCTCTCCACTCATCCAGCTCCCTAAGTTGGAATTTTGCTGGTGTTATTGTAACTGGGTACTAGAGTCTCTTCATATATTCTGGCAGGTTGTTGCAAAACCTTTGTCTTCACTTATTTCATGTGTGTGTATGTGTCTGCTGTGTAAATGTGCGCATGTGAGTGTGTGTGTGTGTGGGAATATGTGTGTGGCGGGTGCATTTGTGGGGTTGGGAGTGTGGCTGGTTAACGTCAGAAATCTTCTGTTGCTCTTTCATCTTTAAAGTAGTGCCTTTCAATCAAACTGTAACTCAGCAATGCCACTGGTCGTCCCAGCCAGCTGGCTCTGGGGACCCAGTCCCTACCTTCTAAGGCAGGAGCCACACCCAGCAGGCGCTTACATTGGTCCTGAAAAGATGGGTGCCAGTCTTCTCGCTTTTGTGGCCAAGCACTTTAGCTACTGAGCCATCTTCTCAGCCCTGTACTCTGCCCTGAAAGGAGTTTTCAGATTAATACTTTCTGTTTCACTTTTCTCTGTTCTCTTCCTATTCTCTCGACAGTGTTCTTTGAGATACAAAGCCTTCTATTGTGATTGTTTCCAATTTATTTCTCCTTTTCTTGCTTTTTAATGCAATGTCTAAGAACCACTGCCTAATCCAAGGTCATGAGGGCTTATGTTATACTTTTTTTGTGTGAAGGTTATAATTGTAACTCTTTATGTTAAAGTCTTAGCCAACTTTGAGCTAGTTTTGTTCATGGACAGGCACGAGATTCCAATTGTATTTTTTTGCATGAAAATTATTTGCTTAATTTTATTTAACATCATTCATGGCAAATGTATAGAAATATATCATTTCATGTAGCTATTATATCTTATAACATCTGTGGTTTTGACGGTTTTAGTGAATTTCTCAAAATTTATTACATATAAGATACATCGTATGGACAAAGAGAATTTTCCCTTTTCTTCCCCCTTCGATGTGGATAACTTTTCTTACTTAATTCCCCTGGCCGGAACCTCTAACACAATGATAGAAGTTTGAAAGGAGAAAGGGTCAAAGGCAGGTCTCTTTGTCTTACTCTTGATCTGAGAAAGAAGTTTAGTTTCTTTGTAATCATTCCGTATAACACTGGCTATAACTTTACTGTGTTTAAAAAATATAGCTCCAGAAAAGGCAATACTAGCTCTCCGCTTACTCCTAGGCCCATTAGTCTGGAGACTCGCAGCTCTTGTACATACTGGTCAGGCTTTCACGGCCTCTCTGTTGATTGATTCTAAGGTTCTCTAGCTGCAGTAACCGTGACGGTCACCCTGCGCTGCTTGGGTCACTTTGGTGCTTGGCAATGTCAGTCAATGATAAGGGCGTTCGTGATCCCCCTCCCCCCTCTCATCCCAGACAGTTTTCCTCTTCAGTGCAAGTGCTGAATTTGTCTCACTGTCGCACTGAGGACCATACTAGTGTCCTGTTGCTGTGCTGCAAAGTAAGTCCTTCCACCTGTTTACATTCCCATTCCTTTTCTATGTATGTTCTTTGCTTTGCTTTTCTCCCCTAAAAATTGTGGCTTGTGGGTGAGTGGGGGGGGGGACAAAAACACCACCAGTTTTGCTCAATAGGTAGAGTAGATCATTTGCCAAGGCTTTTGTTAAGCAAGCCACGATGCTGTCCTTTGTATATTAAGTAGAAGTATCATTGAGAAGCCCAATCAGTGACACAGTATTTTATTTTGCCCAAAAATATTTAAGTGAAATAGAAATTCATCTGTACGTGTGGCATCATCCTTAAAAATGAGGGTCTGTGACGTCATGGTATAGAGTTCTTTAAAACAAGCAACACTTCAAAATAGTAGAAATTTTTATTGACTCCTGATGAGAACTTAATAATAGATGTCCTATTTATTTCACTTATACAGACGAGACACACCAGAGAATTTGAGTGGAATGCCTCCCTGTGTCAGACATAAGCTGTGGATTTGTGTGGTGTACAGACTATAATACAGATCCTTCTTCCCACAAGTTAATCAGTGATAGCCAGAACACATGGGATACCTCTCAGTATTAGGCACTGTTCTATTGCTGTGAAGAGACACCATGACCAGTTCAACTCCTATAAAAGAAAGCTTTTAATTGAGGCTTGCTTACACTTTCAGAAAGTCAGTCCACCATGATCATGGTGGGAGGCAGACAGGCACGGCTCTGGGGCTGTAGGCGAGAGCTACATCCTGCCTCACACACAGGCAGCGTGCAAGGAGGGCACACTGGGTCTGGCAAAGCCCAACCCCCAGTGACACACCCACTCTTCTAAAAAGGATATACCTCCTAACCTTTCCAAACAGTCTGTCAACTGGAACTTAGCATGCAAAAAGTAGAAGTCTATAGGGGCATCTTGATTTACACCACCACACCTTTGGAACTGTATTTGTTAAACACCATTAGCTGCTGAATAAAATGTAAACTCTGGGACCCAAATAGGCTATTGAAGAAGAGGAAGAGGAATATGGGAAGCAAATCCAAAAATGGAAAGTCAGGAGAGCACTAGCCTGTGTTCTCGCTTTAGTTTGCTAAGTCGCCAATGTATTGAACCTTACAACCAAAATAAGTCCTAGAACTATGACAGGGAAACCAAGTCCCATCTTGTTTATAGACCAATATTTAGTAGTTTTTTTATCTCGTTTCATGTTGAAAGGATTCCAAAGGCATACATAAGTTCAATACAATAGAATGTACTACCAATTAGTCATCTTGTGTACAACCTTGGGAATTGTTCTCTATTGGAGATCTCTGAACTCAATGATTTTAAACTGGCTTCCATCAATAATTCTCCTTGAGCTTTGCTCAGGAATTCATTAGTTTAAAAACACTTTTTTTTTTTTTTTTTTTTTTGCCAAATCGCCATGAGAACAATAACTAAATGGGAAAATGTCTTATCCAAACACAGAAAGTAGAGGGTGATGAGAGCATGAAGAGAACTGGAAAGAAGAGAAAGTTTCCAGCTACTGAAGAGTCCAGAAAGTTGGGACAGGAAATGCCACTTACTTTGAGCTAATGGCAGGGACTACAAAAATAAGCCATTGTAACAGGGTCTTCAGTGGGAAGGTGAGATAAATTTCAACATTGCACTGAAAAAGAAAACTATTTGGAATGAGAAGGGAGAGGCGTATCGTGAATACCCTTATTGTTAACTGGCATTTGGAGAGCACCAAAGTGTCCTGAGCAGCTCAGGGTAAACATCATGGTTGCTGCAGCTGGAGAACCTGAGAGTCAATTACCATCAGCTAGGCAGCCTGTGAAAAGCCTGGCTAAGAGCTCCAGACTGACAGGCCTAGGAGTGACCAGAGAACACTTCCTAAAATTTAATTGGCTTGCTGATATTTGAGTCACTTTTTCAGAACTGACTATTGATAAAAGTAGCATTGAGTGCTACAAAGCAAGAGGTATTATTTAAGGCCACCTTGTGAAGAAACCAACAAATTGAAAGGGCCAGATCTTTCAGTGAGTTCATAAAGACACGCAAATAACAGTACAACATCACAGGGATCATCCCCTAATGTTTGCACATTGCAGTTTTCTCTTTAAAAATCAGTA